CACACCAGTTAGAATGGCAATCATTAAAAAGTCAGGAAACAATGGATGCTGGAGAGGATGTGGAGAAATAGGAACACTTTTACACTGTTGGTGGGAGTGTAAATTAGTTCAATCATTGTGGAAGACAGTGTGGCAATTCCTCAAGGATCTAGCACTAGAAATACCATTTGACCCAGCGATCCCATTACTGGGTATATACCCAAAGGATTATAAATCATGCTACTATGAAATAGGAACACTTTTACACTGTTGGTGGGAGTGTAAATTAGTTCAATCATTGTGGAAGACAGTGGGACAATTCCTCAAAGATCTAGAACTAGAACTACCATTTGACCCAGCGATCCCATTACTGAGTATATACCCAAAGGATTATAAATCATGCTACTATAAAGACACATGCACACTTATGTCTACTGTGGCACTATTAACAATAGCAAAGACTTGGAACCAACCTGAATGTCCATGAAGAATAGACTGGATTAAGAAAATATGGCACATATATACCATGGAATATTCTGCAGCCATAAAAAAAAGGATGAGCTCATGTCCTTTGCAGGGACGTGGATGCAACTGGAAATCACCCTTCTGAGCAAACTATCACAAGGGCAGAAAACCAAACACCACATGTTCTCACTCATAGGTGGGAACTGAACAATGAGAACACATGGACACAGGGCAGGGAACATTATACCTGGGGCCTGCCAGGGGGTGGGGTGCAGGGGGAGGGATAGCATTAGGAGAAACACCTAATGTAAATGATGAGTTAATGGGTGCAGCAAACCAACATGGTACATGATTATCTATGTAACAAACCTGCACGTTGTGCACATGTACCCTAGAATTTAAAGTATAATTTTAAAAAATAAAGAAATAAAGAAATAAAGAAAAGACACTGGTGTTCAAGGGTTTACCTTTCAAATATCCTAATTGAACAAGTCTAAGGATAATGGCAGTTTGTGCTCATTTATGGAATTAGTAATCTTACATGAACAAGGACCTCTAAAGAATTGATCTTGTTCTCCAACAGCATAGACATTCTGTGGCACCACAGTGAATGGGATATTTAAAGTTTTCTAAAGGCATTTGATATCTGTCAGATACCAGGCAAGCTGCTAACTTGAGGCATTTCACAACTTCAACATTAGATAGCTACATTCATTTCAGTGATGTCACGCCTTTGCAAAGCTAGACTTTTGCCAGTTCCTTTGATATAAATAATTAAAAAAAAAAATCAGGCCAGGCGCAGTGGTTCACCCCAGTAATCCCAGCACTTTGGGAGGCCAAGGCAGGTGGATCACTCGAAGTCAGGAGTTTGAGACCAGCCTGGCCAACAT